AGACAAGATTCACATATGCTCACCATCATCTTAACTTAATTTATTGAACTTTCATTAAAGCAGTTCAAAAAAAAAGTTTATCTCAATTCTTCATGAGTAAATAACTAAAGAGAGGTAGATAAGATTGGTGTAGGAAAAGTCAAGATATAGATATAGATTCTACTAACAGTGGAAAATGTTTTGTGTTTTCAGTCTGGAAACAATGATAACAAATCTGGGAAGCATTGTTGATGGTCATTTTTATTTATATCTTGTCTCTCAGGAGTTTTAAAATGTGATTGTTATCACATGCTCACAAAATGAAAAGGAAAAGTTAATAATGATTTCCAGATTTCTGATTTAGGAGCCTGAATAAGATAATGGTGTCACTCAAGAGTACAAAATACAAGAGCACATAAAGGGAGATAGTAAATTTCATTTTAGTTATTTGCCTTTGAGACATGCAACAGGGGATTTCTAGAAAGTAACACTATTACCCACATTGGAGGGCAGAAGTCTCAGATGCTGGTTTGGAGTGAGTTACTCAGGAGTCATCATAATAGAGATAGTAGTTAAAACCATAAAATTACACAGGAGATGTGTATAGAGCAAAAAGAGCACAGAACAGAGGACAGAATCTCAAAATGCTATAAATGCTGGAAACACTTTTTAAAAATGTTAGAGGATCCACTCATCTGCTGGTGAGCACTTGAGTTCTTTCCAAATCTTAACTATTGTAAATTGCACTGCTATGAACATAGGGGTGCATACATTCTTTCTAATGAGTGTTTCTAATTTCTTGGGATATATTCCTAGAAGAGGGATCACTAGGTCAAATAGAAGATTTATTTTTAATTTTTTGAGGAAAATCCCAACTGTCTTCCACAGTGACTGCACCAGTCTGCATTCCACCAGCAGTGTATGAGGGTTCCCTTTTCTCCACATCCTCATCAACATTTGTCATTTGTTATTTGTTGATGATAGCCATTCTGACATGAGTGAGATGATACCTCATTGTCGTTTTGATTTGCATCATTCGAATGATTAGTGACTTTGAGCATTTTTTCATATATCTCTCAGCATTTTTCATATATCTTTTGTATATCCACTTTGGAGAACTGTCTACTCAGGTCCTTTGCCCATTTTTTAATTAGATTGTTTATCTTCTTTTGGTAAGTTGTATGAGTTTCCTATAAATTTTGACTGTTAACCCCTTATGTTATGTATCATTGGCAAATTTGTTCCCCCATGCAGTGGGCTCTCTTGTTATTGTGTTGATGGTTTCTTTTGCTATGCAGAAGCTTTTTATTTTTATGTAGTTCCATTTGTGTATTTTCTACATCTATATAATGGAAAAATACAAAGCTATAAAAAAGAAAGAACTCTTAACATTTGTAATAGCATGGGTGGACCTGGAGAGCATTATGCTAAGTGAAATAAGCCAGTCAGAGAAGGTAAGTTTCATATGATCTCATTCATATGTGGAATCTAATGAACAACATAAACTGATGAACAAAAATATGCCCAGAGACATAGAGCATCCAACAGACTGTCAAACCTCAGAGGGAAGGCAGGGGAGGGGAGTGGAGGGAAGAGATCAACCAATGAACTCATATGCACATATGCATAACTCATGGACATAGACATTAGGGTAGTGAAGACCTAGGGTGAGGAGTGGGGCAGGATGGGAGAAGTCAATGGGGGGTGGGGGGAGGAATGGGACATGTGTAATACTTTCAACAATAAAGATTTTTTAAAGATATTTAAAAAAGAGAAAAAGATAATTTGGGACATAGACAAAGAGAGGTCCGCAGAAAAGGGAACTAAAAACTAATAAAATGATGTAAGAGGAGCTAAAAGAAAATAAAACGGAAGAGCCATTCTAAAAGCATTCTAAACGCCACAATGAAAGTAAGGTAAACACTAACAGACTTCAATAGGTTAGTAAATAGAGTATTGCTGATTTTTGTCAGAAAGGTTTTAGGGAACTTCAGAGATGAGATGATATATTTTTGATGTATAGATCACGGATAGAATGGTGAAGGAAATAAAGATGAAGGCAGCCAGCCAGTATTCTACTCTATTTTTTTCCTACAATGAACATGTAGCAACATTCGTGTAATAATATTACACAATGATTGAAGTAAGTTTCCCTAAAAATAAAATAAATACGAGTGTAGCTGAAGGGGGTCTGTGCAGAGTCGAAGGCCGTCTGTTGTGTCTATCCCTAGGGTTTAGAAAACAATCAAAGGGAAAGAAAAAACTGCTGTGGAGAGATATAACTGTGAGAGAGCAAATAACATTTTATTTTTTGTCTTAAAATATGATACGAGTGTTCCTGTAAGTCTAAGAAGAGATCATGTTTCAATCAGAACTTCGTCTCTAGAAGCACTTAAACTTGGATGCATTTTCCAGTTGAAACAGTAAGGCTAACACTAACTAAAGAAAGGCTTACATGTCCACACTCATTGGGCCACCCTGTGAGGTAGTCCATTTCCATCTTACAGATGGCGAAGGGAGCTCTCATTGACCTGCGGTGGTTAGGAGGGAGCCCGGAGGAAGCTCAGAAATGGTCCTTTGAACCTAATGCTCTCCACTCGTCCCTGTGTTCTATCTTTCATAATACGATGTGAACAGTGTTGAATGAGTCGTATAAATTAAGCTTCCTGATTCCAGAATAAGATAGATTTTGAAAAACAAAATTACTATCAATCAATAAAACAATATCTGAAAATGAGATTTGAAAAATCTGCATCTTTCCTCAAAAGGCATAGTATTTTTCCCCCTCAAATATAAAAACTGGAAGACGTTACTTAGACATATGTGTTAAAGAAAAAAAAGAACACAGTGAAACAATGCCTTGTAATAAACTCAAAGTAAAATGTGTTAGGGTGATTAAAATATGCATTTAAAAAGTATTTGGAATAAAGCTCCCAAAAGGAATTAGGGACACAAAAATTATTTCTGTAAAACAGCCTAACACCACATTTAGTGCCAACATTAGGTATAGTTTCCTGGATTTCATGTTTAAAAATTTTAAATATATTTTCTATCTCTTTTTTCTTAAACATAATATATCTAAATAGGATCACAGAATCTGTTTTGAATGAGAAACAAACAGACAAATGAAAACATAATTCCATATAAACAGAGAATATTTATTTTTGTAATCACTTTTTTAAACAAGTTCTTCCAGAAAACAATTGCTTTAAGGTCTCCTTTGCTACACTTGAAACCACAACTGCTGATAAGTCAGGTCTAGATATTAGTACATTACACTATCAATCACTACAACTGTGAACTCAGGGTGAAAATTGCCCTAAATCACTGATATAATCTCTTGAGATTAACATCATAATTTTCTGTGCTGGGCTGGGTAGGTACTGAGGTGCTGTGGTTGTTGGAGGGGTTAAATTGAAGCTACTGGTGCATTTATATTAGGGAGGATTCCTAAAACACCACAGTGGAGTCTGGGTCAATCCCTTACTGTGAATGAGCAGTGGCCAATAGAAAGGGGAGAAGAAGATCCAAGACAGCTGAGGTAAGCGGGTTCCGAAGCCTTGTCAAAGGGGAATCAATAGATCAAAAGGTTCATGGTGACCGGTCAGAGTAAGCTTTATTTTTTATTACTGGAGGCTTGTCAGCATGAAATAAAAACAAATTACTCAAGGCAAAGATTTTTTTTTTTCTTAACTGAGTTTCAGCAAACTTCAGACCCAGACACAGGACTCAACGGTATATTGCCTGGACAGCAAGGTAAACTATTTTACACTTTTAAAACCTTAATGTTAAGACTTTGAAGTTCTGATCCATCAGAGGCATGGGTACACTTTCAATAAATAAAACAAATCCCTATTCTGAAGGAAAAAGACAATTTCAGTGTCTGCTGGAAGATGACCAGGGCAGCATTCTGTAACTGTAAGAACTTTGACAGCTTGTGGAAGTAGCTCTGCACTTGTCATTTTCCTCAATTTAGCTGCAAGATGGAAAGCTTAGCATTTCACAAGAGATGCTGGGTTTATTTATTTTTTTAAGGAATCAGTAACATTTATTCAGACCTTATTATCAAGCAGTTGAACTAAATGTATATTGGTTGAATGTTACTGGTACATATATGTATTTTTTCCTGTTAAAATATTTTATTGTGCCTATAATTTGTTTATGTACTATGGGAAGGGTTTGTGTTTTTTTAGATGATTCATATATATCAGTAAGTGTTAACCTATTCTTTGTTAGAAGCCATACTGAAAATTAGGAGCCCTTCCTGCATCCTAAACATGTTTTTGGTTTGGTTTTGTTTCTTATCAATATAAAAATGCCATAATTAAGTACATTATTTACCTAATTATGATAGAGTTCATGATTCAAATTTCTTGGCTGAACAATTTAATTCTGTACTTATATTAGAAGTCTCTCCCCAAAACGCCAAAATAAAACTTACCTGAGAAGTTGAGCAATAGAGTAAAAGATTAATCACACACTTTTCTTCAGACCTTAAAACGTTCCTCAAAACAAACTGCTAAAACGTTCTCTGATTGCTCTTACTTTGGTTCAAGGCCCAGAGCCTGAGAAATCTCAACCAGATGTTCTGCTCATTTAGAAATAAAAGTAAAAGCATATGCCTACTTACTAGGAATAACACAGACTCTCAATGTGAATTATTCAAAGGTCACTTTTTTGTACTATTCTATTCAACTCCAGATTTCAGTTAACTTCCTTGCATTAAGTAGCTTGAAGTGGAAAAGCACTTATAGTTCCTAAAATTTGCTTTTCAGTTTTCATTGTGATTTGGTTAATACCAGAAAGGTACAAGTTGGTGAATCAGTTTCAGTGTCTGCAAAATGCTTTGCATATAGTGCCTCCTAACTAAGTGGGTATAAATTACTGTATATTTCTAAAATGTTGGCACATGTTTACTTTCTGCTAAAAGAAATAATGCTTTTGATCATTTTAGTGCATGCAATTCTCTCTTTAGAGATGTCCAGTATCTAACAGTTGTATCCTTTACTATAGGAACTATAATGGCAACCGCAGTCTGTCTCCTCATCTTGGTGGTATTCCTTACAGATTCTGTCTGGACTCGAACTGTGAGACAGGTCTATGAGGTCCATGATCCAGAGGATTTTAATGAGCAAGACTTTGATTGCCCCAGGGAATGTTTCTGTCCCCCCAGTTTTCCTACTGCTTTATACTGCGAAAATCGTGGCCTCAAAGAAATCCCTGCTATTCCTTCAAGGATCTGGTATCTCTATCTTGAAAACAACCTGATAGAAACCATTCCTGAGAAGCCATTTGAGAACGCCACCCAGCTGAGATGGATCAATCTAAACAAGAACAAAATCACCAACGATGGCATTGAAAGAGGAGCCCTGAGCCAACTAAAGAAGCTGCTCTTCTTATTTCTGGAAGATAATGAGCTAGAGGAGGTTCCTTCTCCATTACCCAGAAGTTTAGAGCAATTACAATTAGCTAGAAACAAGGTGTCCAGAATTCCTCAAGGGACCTTTAGCAATCTGGAGAACCTGACCCTTCTTGACTTGCAACACAACAAACTCTTAGACAACGCCTTTCAGAGAGACACCTTTAAGGGACTGAAGAACCTCATGCAGCTAAACATGGCCAAGAATGCCCTGAGGAATATGCCACCAAGATTGCCAGCCAACACAATGCAGCTGTTTTTAGACAACAATTCCATTGAGGGAATACCAGAAAATTATTTTAATGTGATTCCTAAAGTAGCCTTCTTGAGACTAAACCACAACAAGTTATCAGATTCAGGTCTCCCTTCCGGTGGTTTTGATGTGTCATCCATTCTAGATCTCCAGCTCTCTCACAATCGGCTCACAAAGGTCCCCCGAATCAGTGCTCACCTGCAGCACCTGCACCTGGACCATAACAAAATTACAAGTAAGTAGCCATTAGGGTGTGTCTCTGACTGAAATGTTCATAGTCATTAAATATATTCCATATATTCTTTAAGAATAGCAACTTGTTCGTTGGTTTTCTTTTCCAAACAATCTGCCCTTAGATTTTTCAAAGTGTATTTTTTAATTTTTAAAGTGTATTTACTTTTATCTCTTAATAGATAGTTTCGATGCACTAAAACGTTTCAATCTTCAAATTGCAGATTGAAAAGTGGACTTCAGTGATCCACAGGGGACTGGTATCTGTTGGAGAAAGTAAATGCCTCCATCTTCTTTACTCCAAAGGAGATTCTGAGGGCTTTTTCTTTTCTTTTTCTTTTTTTCTGTCTCACTGAATAGACTTATTTAAGAAAGTGTCCCAGGCACAAACAACCTCATGAACAGTAACAGAAGGAACATGATTTATAGGTCATCAGGAAGGTGCCTCTTTCCTAAAAACTCCAGGGCAGCTCATGCCTGCTGCCCTCATTAGAGTCTCTGCTTTAGACCAGTGGGTTTCTCAAACTTTAGTGCACAGGCCTGTACCTCCACCTAATCGAGTACTTCTAGATGGGACCAGAGACTTTTCATCTCTAATAAGTTCCCAGGTGATGCTGAGTATGCTGCATCCCCTGGGAACCATGTCTTGGGGACCAATACTCTAGTTTAAGGCTGTGCTCAATGTAAACGAAAGCAAATGTCCCTGGGCTTTGGCAACTCCTCAGAACGAATGGCGATCTCTAAGGTATAATACCTCTCCTTTCCTGAAAATAGTTTTGGATAAGAGAGAGTGAGGTGAGTGCCAAGTGTCCTGGAGGCAGAGGCGCCGTCAAGGAAAGAAGTGGTTGTAGAAAGAAGAGGCTAGAGGCATTGAAGGCAAACTTGGCACTTGCACAGTCATGCCCGAGACCAGGCTGACTGTGGTGCAGAAGCGGACAGTGTCTTCCTGCAGCCACAGGGGCATTGGTATCAGCCAGGCACCTACCCGTGCATCCTCAGTCCCAGCACACGCCCTCTGGGAAGGCAATCTTGAGGAGACTTCTGAACAACCTTAGCGACACACGCCTAAAGTGAGAATCAGTTTGTAGAAAAATGACACAGATAATTGTCAGAAAGTTATGCTGCCTGGTTATTACAATCTAAAATTTTCTATAAGTATATAATCATATAAACATCCCATTTGTAAGAATAAAAATATTTCTGCTCAGTACTCCTCAGTAATTCAAGATCTGTCTGGTTTTTCTAATAGCATACACAAGCTTAAAAATCCAGGAAGTAATAAGCAGGTTGCTGCCACAACAGTTATTTTTCCATGGTGATGAGACATGTTGTTTAATCCTGTAGTCAAAAGCAAAAGATGTAACAAAAATGTTAATTGGATCTGTTTCACTGAACCTGATAGTGCAACAGCCAATATGGACCTAAATGTGTGCAATTTTTTCCTGATGAAAATTCTGTACCTTCTACAAGTGCATTCCTCATCTGACAACAGAAGTCTCATAAATATTGGCTGTAGGAAGATGCTTTAAAGTGATTTCATGTAAGTGCCTTTTTGTGAATTAGGAATTCCCCTGAGAATGTGAGGTTGAGGGTGTTTAGTAGTGAGGTAGCAAAGTTCAACATACAGTTGGGCACATATGCCAGCACTTACATTATTATACAAAGCGGCACAGAGAAGAAAAGGACTCTGTAGTTCCTTCATTAACATTTTAGAGAGCTTTTACAAAGTGTTCCCTCATGTCTTCCTTCTTATACCATGGCAGGCCTCAGAGTCACCTGGAGGGCTAGTATCTAACTCAAGAAGTCTGGGGTGGGGCCTGATCATTTAGTTCTCAGGCAAGTACTGGTACTGCAGGTCCAGGGACTCCACTTTAAGAACAACAAATTATCCTTAAAAAAGCCTTGTATGCTATAATTAGAAATTTATAACAAAAGAGAAACTGAGGCACTCAACTAGGAGAAGATAGTTGCTAAAAACAAAGAATAAATATAATAGCAGGAACCTGAGCCCAGGACTTCACATTTTAAATATTTTTTTTTTCCCTGCACTCATACAGTATAATCACAGCACATTTTATTTTATTTTATTTTATTGATTTTGTACAGAGAGGAAGGGAGAGAGATAGAGAGTTAGAAACATCAATGAGAGAGAATCATCGATCAGCTGCCTCTTGCACACCCCCTACTGGGGATGTGCCCGCAACCAAGGTACATGCCCTTGACCGGAATCGAACCCGGAACCCTTCAGTCCCCAAGCCGATGCTCTAGCCATTGAGCCAAACCGGTTTCAGCTGACAGCACATTTTTCTTAAATTCTGAAAATATAAAACTTTAGAAAAAATTTCAATAATTTCATAGCAATAACATCAACAAAGAGCAACTGCTTTATTTGCTTCTTAATGTAGATATAATGCTTGGCCATTTTAATTCTCCAAGAAAATAAATTTAAAATGAGTTTTTCCCTGGATATAATTATTGGCTCACCATTATATTACACTGTGTTATAACAATTGTTAAAGTACTTAGTTCTTCTGGCCACATAATCTACTATAGTTCCTAATAAAGTTATTTCCAAGAAATGCACCTTTTATATGAAGATTTCTCAGAATTTACATGGCAGTGAACTTTTCTTATGCAAAATAATGGCAACACTTATTTCTCCTGAACTCTTTAGGGACTTTAAATTTGGCAAAATGTTATGTTACGTACTTCTAGATGGCCTCTCAGAAACACCATAATTAATTTAATTAAAATATTAATAAAATAAAATGCAACTAAATTTAGAACACATGTTTCTTATGTTCCATTTGTTCACACAGGCATTGGTTATGAGCACAGAGTGATAAGGATGAGGAGATAGTACATAGAAGAACCAATCTCTCCAGTAGACAGTAGTGCAGTAGGAAACGGACTAGGCTGGGGTCCAGCTCGGACCTCACTTGCTGAAATACCTGGTGTGCATTACCTGACCTGTCTCAACCACTCTTCCCACAAGACCCAGGGGGGAGAATTTTAAATTACCCGACAAAGGCTGTGTGGTATTAGCATGATAATTATGTGGAAATAAATAACTTTATAAACATAAGACTGTCATACAAATGAGTCATTTTTAGTTCAATTCGCAAAATAGCATAAGATCATAGCAGAGCTACCTTACTGTAAGCATAAAATCCTTCAATACAATATAAATACCTAGGTGCCAACAGGACACAAGGAAGGGGCCATTGCCCAAGCTAGGTGGGACTCATCTTCTAAGGAAGAATTTTTGTTCCAACCCGTTTCAAAATGGGATTTAAATGCAACATAGGGATTCATGGTTGAGATCGGTTATTATACTTCTCCAAATTCTGCTAGTTTAACAGGGCTTCTCTCCTAAATCTCCTATATCTCAGTATAATCAGTGATGCCAGGGGCTCTGACCCAAGTCAGGGGCACAGTTTCTCACATCCTAACCATCTGAAAAGGCTGTTGGGATATTTTCTATCTTGAATTATTTGTTATTTAATTCTTGGCAAATGTTTCCATTCCAATTAAATACACTTAAATATAAAGATTCAAGTTATTTTTATGTGTTATGTATATATACACATACATTAATTGTACTTAAAAAGCTTGTCGTTATATAGTTTTGCTTTGAAATTTGGCATTTTTAAGGTAACTTTCAAGCACTTTAATAGACTGATTTTTCATCTATGCATACATCTATCCATCTACCCATGCACCTACCTATTCTTCCGGTACCAACTCTGAATTGTCTCTAATAACCTAAACTTTACCTGTCTTAGCCTGTAGTAATCTAAGCTTACCTTATCTCACCTTGTTTTCATTTTAGCTTTTAACAATGTATCCTTTCTAGTGCTCTGTACAACATACAGCAGAATATGGAGTCAGATGACTATAGATATGTTGCCCATTTTTTCAGGAACAACTTTATAAAACAGATATGCATAACCCCCAACTTACCAAAAATCGTTTGTACCTCTGTCACTTTCTAGATCATAAGACTGGCCTCAAAGTCTGTGGTAATAGTTTCTTTGTCCTCCTTCCCCCAGTCTCTTGTGTTCTAATTCATTTATTCATGCTCTCTGTCTGTCTAGATGTGAACGTCTCTGTAATATGTCCTACCACTTCCACACTGCCTGCAGACCAAGATTCCTTCAGTTATGGACCTCATCTGAGCTACCTTCGTCTGGATGGAAATGAAATCAAACCACCAGTCCCAATGGATTTAATGAATTGTTTTAGGCTCCTGCAGACTCTCATTATCTAAACACATGTTCAACAATCTAAAATTGATTTAATACACTAATATTTCTGACAAGATATTTGGATAACATTCATAGGTGTAAAACAAAAATACATTTCCAAATGCTCTAGGCCACCATTTTCATCTGTGCAGTTTAGTTTTTCTATTCAAAGAGGCTACTTTCATAGTAAAATAGACTACCTTTTTTTTTTTAAGAGAAAGAGGGAGAAAGAAAAAGAGGAAGAGGGAGAGAGAAACATCCCAGAGAAAAACATGCATCAGTTGCCTCCTGTACATGCCCCAACCAAGAATTAAATCTGCAACTTGGGTATATGCCCTGATTGGGAGACTAACCCACAATCTTTAGGTATATGGGACGATCTCCAGCCAATTGAGCCATCTGGCAAAGGCCAGCCTACAAATTTTAGTAAATAAAACAGACACAGAGTTAAGTAATTAACTCAAAGATAAATTTTGTCTCTTTCACAATTTATTAATACCATATGCAATTGTATTGTTGTGCCATAGGAAGAACATATTTGTTTGCATATGTTCAAAATTGCTTATTCAGATACTATATTTACAGTAGAAGTATAGCAACCTAATAGGAGGTAGGACGATCTGTAGAAAATTTAAAAAATGAGACTTTTCTTTAATCATAATTACAAATAATTAATTAAATCCAGTTAACTAAGTAATTTTTGTAGGTAGAAGCTTAGTATTTAGCCCAGAAATAGGTATGGAATACATCAAGTACTTCATGAGGGAGTTTTAGTCATTGAATACCAAATGTTAGAGCAACAGCCATTTTTTGTTTACTTTTATCTTCTATAGCTGTTGTTTCTACAGTACAATATACTTCAGCATTTAAACTCCTACATTTTTTACACTTACTATAACACATTTCTGACAGAATCTTATTTTAACATTTGAAATCCACTTGAATTGCAGTGTTTAGCTCATATATTTGTCAGTATTTTCTTGGATTTTTAAAATAAAAAAGAGTGAATGCTTTCTAACAAAATGGAACTATTTATTTCAGATTTATTTCAGGCACATTACTCACAAGTTTTATTAAAAACACATTTTAATAGAAAGTGTTAGGGTGACAACTGTTTCCATTTTTCTAGCATGAGTGTATGCACATATATTTTCCCACTTTGTTTTTTTCTTTCTTCTAATAAACATGAGAAAAAAATTCATACTTTAAGTACCTGATGTAATATAGCTGTTTTTCATGAGTTAAACAATTAATCCAGGATTTTGTTAAGTAACAAAGTATAGTTTCTTTTAGACTTCTGATTTTGTAAGACATGTGCTATAAACAATAAATATTACATAAAGATTAATATGTGCCTTTATACAATAGTATTCTGAAAAATTCTATAAATTTTATATATATCCCTAGATAAAGGAATATATATATATTTGTGTGTGTGTGTGTGTGTGTGTGTGTGTGTGTGAAACACAACATTTAAGAAAGCTCAACATATTGCTTTATTCCAAAGCTTCTCAGAAGCATAATATGTTATTCTGTAATGTGACTTTCCAAGAGAGAATATAAAGTGCAATATTTCCTTCTTTTTTTCACAACTGAACTTATTTGGGGATGGGAGGGAAGAACCACCTAACACACTTTGAACATAGTTTTTAAAATATAAGAAATATAATTAATTGACATAAAATATTACTGTTTTTAAAAACTTCAAAGCACATAAATAAAATTATATATACAATTATGACATAAAATATAGATAATCAAGTATCATTAGGCTGGGAAAGAAAAATATGTTGCGAGAAACATAATAATTTTAAAAAACATGGTATGTGAAAAGAGGATAGAATATATTTTGGAAGTCCAAAATGAAGAGGAGAGCATATAGGTAGAATTTAGTATGAGCCATATATTAGCTCTTACCAAGAAAGAATTTTCTAATAGTTGTTAGGAGTCACTCAGCAAAGAAAGCAACTTTTCTCGAGGTAGAATTACCCACAAGGAATGGAACAAGGAATGAGTGATGACCAAGAGAAAGAATATAGAAATGATTCTTGACCTGTAAGCAAAGTTGTAAAATAGTCCTCTTAGGACTTTTAAATTAAGAATTCTATCTCTTCCTTCCTTCCTTGTTTCCTCCCTTCCTTCCTTTCCTCTTACCTTTTTTTCCTGTATTTCAGAAAATATATTTTAGAGCACCACATATGTACCAGGCTACATTATATCCAGGAGATTTAGTAGTGCATGAGGTTTATGCTATACTATAGTAGATAAGACACAAATTAACTGAATAATCACAAATCGTGATAATAGAGATGCACGGTGCTAAATAATTAATAATAGTGATTCAATATTTGCATAATGGTTATATGGCAAAGGCCTTCTATGGAGAATATACAATGGCCTCAAAATTCTACAGTAAGACAATCCACTTAGAAAATGAGCAAAGAATGTGAACAGACATTTCATTGAGCAGATACAGATACAGCAAGATATTCCACATTGTCAGACATTAGAGACATGCAGATTATAATCACAATGATATGTCACTTCATACCTATAAGAATGGCTAAAATAAAACACAGGCGCACCATCAAGTGCTGGTCAGGATGTGGAAAAAACACACTTATTCATTGCTGATGGGAATGTAAAATGGTTCAGCCACTTTGGAAAACCAGTTAGCACTTTCTTCTAAAACTAAAGACACAGCCTCCATGTGACCTGGCAATTTTATTCTTGAACATTTGTCCCAAAGGAAAAAGAAAGTATGTTCGGACAAAAAATTGTACATAAAGTGTTCAGATCAGCTTTATCTATAAACACACAGAAAACTGAGAACAACCAAAATGTGCTCCTATAGGTGACTGGTTGAACACACAGGCACATCCATACATGGAGGACTTCACAGCAGGGAAAAGGAATGAAAGATAGATAAATACGAGGCTTCATTCAGGGCATTGTAAGGGAACAATGTTGGGTGGAAAAGCCCACTGTGATTCTATTTACACAATGTCCTTGAAATAAAATTACAGACATCAGGGGCAGCTTCATGGTTGCCACAGGTTAAAAATGGGCCCGGTGGTGTAGATGGCTATAAGGGCAGAGCCTGTGGAGATGAAGCAATTGTGTCTTGATTATGGTGGTCACATAGATCTGCACAAAATGAACAGAAGTGTACACACATGTACATGTAAGTACATGTGAATCTGGTGAAAAAGGTCTAAGCTCAGTGAATTGCCCCAAAGTTAATCTCTCAGTTGAGACACTATAATTTAATCTACACTAATAAAAAAGTAATATGCAAATTGACCTTGCCTTTGTGACACCTACTAGCTAATAAGGGATGAGTATGTAAATTAGCTCAACAAAGATGGTGGGTTAATTTGCATAGGCAGGCCCCGAAATGGCTGTGGGCGGAAAAGGGCACTTGAGTCGCCACCATGTCGATGATGCAGGGGTTCTGCTTAGCCCCCTTTTGCTCTGGGCCTCTGGGCAGCATGGGAAGGCAGAAAGGCAGCTCTGATGCCAGAGCAGAAAGGCAGTTTCTGTCGGAGTGAAGGCAGTGCAGGCAACCTGGGTAAGGAAGGCCCATTCTTGCATGAATCTTCATGCATCAGGCCTCTAGTTTAAAATAAAAACTAAAAACACTGAGAAGCTTGAACAATAGATATCAGATGTAGGATTGTGAGGCAGGTAGTCTGGAATGGAGTGGGAAAATCCAGTTGTGATTCTAATATAGGGGGAGACATCAACAATAGATTCAAGGTGTTTTTCTTTCCGCCCCGCCCCCCAACAGTTAAATGAAGCAAAGCCAAGATATACTTTGAATGGTTAATATTAATATGTCTCAGTGTAATCCTGTCTGTCGTATAATTAGTGACAGAGACCTAAATCCAGACTCAGAAAAGAATTGTCTTATGTAAAGAATATATAACTGGAAAATTAGTACAAGGGAAAAGCAGAGTGACACAGAATATTATTAAGCTAAAAAGAAAACAAGAAGAAAAAGTCATAAAAAAAAAGACAAGTAAAAAGGATAAAATGAAACAGTACATTTGGAGCCACATATATTGGTAATTGCTTGGTACAAAGGCTAGGATCTTGTACTTTAGAGAGAAAAGACTGAGTTTCCAATCCAGCCTGTGCATTTCCTAATTCTTTGGTCTTAATATTTCTGAGCATGGAATCCTCATCTCCAAAAGAGGGACAACCCAACTCTCTTATACAGTTGCTATGAGGATAGGAGAAAAAACAGGTAGATCCTGGTCAGATAGCTCAGTTGGTTAGATCATCATCTGGATAGCCGAGGTTGTGGGTTCAATCTTTGGTTAAGGCACATACAAGTAGTAACCAATAAATGCCTACATAAGTGAAACAACAAATCTCCCCCCCCTCTCTCTCAATTAATAATAAAAAAGAACAGATTTGTTGTTCATAGTTCACATCACTTGACACAGAAAGTATCCAATAATTGGTAGGTAAGAATTTTATTATTAGGAGGGATTCCAATACACAAAATTTCTCTATACCAGACCATATTTTAAATAAGGAACTGAGAAAAATGTTTTGATGCAAGAGAAGAGTAAATAGGCAAGTGGATTTGAGAGTGATAGAAAGGGGCCAGTAAACCATGACTCAAATTGGATAATGAAAAAAAGAAAAGACAATCAGGAGGGCACAGTTGAACTGGGGGGAAAAAGACTGAAGACTCCATAAGATGAAGTACGCAGGTTTGAGGGCAATCCTGGGAGTAAAAGAGTGAACTCAGCCAGGGAGACTACAGTTTAAAATGGCTTACATAGCCCATGTTGAGAAATGAGAAAGATTCCGGGTGTGGCCAGAGGGAATAACTGTCAAAATAAAGAGGAAATGAATGTCACTGAGGTCAAACAAGCCAAGGAATTATGATTTCATAAGAATCTCAGATGCACATGCTTACATTTAATTTTAGCACTCTGGAGAGAAGAGTCAACACAAAATGACAAAATTTTTGAACATGAAAAATAATTTAAGGAGCTTGTTCAATGTC